CATTGGTGAACCCATGCCACTTACTTATACATGATATTCATCAATTTTCTTACTTAAAGAAAAGTCCGGAACTGATTTGAGGGGAGGTTACTTGTTTCTTGAACATCATAGTAGAGAGGCTAACACAAAAGACTTACAAAGCTGATTGAATTTTGAAAAACAAGGAAAAAGTATTAAAGCATTCTCAACATCACACAAGTTTCTTTAATGCACTCTTTCATTGCATTACCTTGCTGTAGACAAAAGGGTACTCCTCTTTTAGAAATATCTGTTGAGAACATGCATTGAGGAAGGAGTAGAATTCCCTCCCACTTTCAGAGACTACTGTTACCAACATAACCCAGATAATTTACATCATTTTCACCAACCTTTTCTTTTTTTAAAGTTCTGTGTGTTACTTTCTCCACATGAAAATATGTAGGAGCCATGCTTCCACGTGCCCATGTGATAATATTTAAATGGATAATTATAGCAACTTCTGAGAATCAGAAATGGGGACATTTCTCTCAAAAATGTGCGTGTCTAAGTAAGGCTGTACCAAGTTCGCCATCACTTCCAGATTCCTTGTGCTTAACGAAATGTCCCCTAATAAGGATTCCTTCCTATGTATAGCATGGATTTTAATACTCCAATTCAAGGTTCCTCTTTTATGCTGTTGTATTGGAAATGTAGAATGCTTTTATTTCAAACTTATGATGTATAAGTTTCCTGACTCATGATACACATAAAGTCCCAGTTTTCAATTATTCTTTTTTCCTAGGTGCACTATGCTGGATTTTCTGAAGTTTATAAAAGGAGACATACTCCCTACAACTTATATGCTAAATGGTTTGATGTCAACCACATGTTCAATAGAATCAGGGATTTGAGATAGCAATATGCTTTTAAAAATGTGAACAAGATTTTTTGCTCCTTTATCCTCTTCTGTTAATCTTTCCTAAAGTTTCTTCAGCAATTTACCCACGGATTCGACATATATCTATTAAGTGTTTACTATATGTCAGGTTTGATAATAAGCACTTGGAATATACTCGGCTCTTATAAAACTTGTACATACTACTATTCTAAAATGAGAGATGGACTGTATTGAATGATCATACAAATGTAAAATTCCTACTGGGACAAGGGATACAAAAATGTATAATGGTACCATGCTAGTCTAAAATAAGAGTATATTTTCTAAGACCCCATGTAATATGAGATTATTTCTCCCTATTCACTACTTTTTAATCGAGGTATAATTCACATATAACATTAGTTTCAGTTGTACAACATAATGATTATTTGTATTTATTACATAACAATCACCACAATAAGTCAGGTAACATCCGTCGCCATACATAGTTACAGAGCTTTATTTTCTTGTGATGAGAACTTTTAAGATCTCTCTTAGAAAGTTTCAAATATGCAGTTCAATCTTATCAATTATAGTTCCCATGTTATACATTACAGCCCCATAAATTATTTGTTTTATAACTGGAACTTTGTAGCTTTTGACCCCCTTCACCCACTTTGCCTACCTCCCACCTCCCTGCCTATCCCTATCCACTCGTCAGTGGGGCAAATCTATACCCATTCAGTGTGCATCAACCGATGGAAGTGTGACTAGATCCTGCCCCACTCCTCAGAACTTACGCTTGAGACCGATAAATGTGCACAGCACCAAATCCAAGCCCCAGACTTTCTGCTGGAGCGCCTCAGCTGCAACGAACTGCCATCTCCCTGTCTCCCCACACACAAAGCGCACACAAACCTGTAGGGCCCAGCATGCACCGCTCTCCAGAGCATGCGGGACGGTTCCTCTCAGAAGCACGATGCCAGTCAACGCCTGTGCCCCACCTCTTCCTGCCTAGTTGTTGTACAGGAGAGTGTCTCTAAATACACTTGGAAGAATGATAGGGGAGCGGAGAGAGTTTGAGGGAAATTCAAAGAGCAGACCTCATCCAATGGAGTGACAGCAGCCCTCTTCTCTCAGCAGTCTCAATCCTAGATCTCTGCATCAGGAATGAGACAGTAGAACAGAAAGAATTCCCTCCCTGGATTTTCCCCCATGACCGCTGTCTTCTAAGGAGATGCCTGAGTTTTCCTTGAGTAAAAACTCTGTCCCCCAGACAATGGCTCTTGGTTATCCCAGCCAAGCCTTTTTGGAATCGCAAACAAATGAAGCAATGACAGTTAAGTGTCTGGAGCACATGCTCTGGCAAATCAAGAGCGCTCTACTTGTAGACTTTTGTGTCTGCTGTGAATCCATTCAGAAACATAACCGGCTCCCCTGAAGCCAGGAACAGCTTTGGGCACCAAGCCATAGCATAAGTGGAATCCACTAGGAGGAAGGGTTAAAGGGATGGAAAAAAAGTATGTGTTAAATATTTGCAAAACAAGATCTCACTTAAAGGATTTTAGACACCAGTTTTAGGGTACCTAGATATTTTTAAAACATCCCCTTCAAATCATACCTTGCAATCTAGGAGACCGTCAAAGGTGTTCCACCTGACTCTGAGGACAAAAGTAGCTATTTTTAGCTTCTGAGGCTTATGAAACACACACAGGAGCTTGGGGTTAAGTCCCAGGCAGGGCTGGAGCTTTTTACAAAGGCCGTGTGTGATCTGACGTTGTTTGTGAATCACCAGCATTGCAGGTTCCGCGGCCCTTTGTCGGCCTGGCCTGTGCCAGGCAGGCTGGGCTCCCCCCGCTGCCGCAGCGCCCTTCTGAAGCCACATCAAATGCACCAGAAAGAAGTGTTTGGAAAGCAGATGCTTGTTAGGCCACCAGAAGTAGACATACCCCAGGGGAGGAAGAGAAGAGGGCAAAGCAACTGTTCAACAATGTTATCACATGACAGCCAAGAGAACTGCCTGTCACAGCATCACTGTGACCGCAGAGCTGACACTTCAGACACCGAGCCAAGGAGCCTAGAAATCCTCTGTCTCAGGAAGACCAAACCCAGCTTAATTGGCAGCGCCTCTGACAAATAAAATGCCAGAGAAAAATGCTGTCACTTTTCCCTTTTCAAATCATAAATTACCCTAGTTTCCTGGAAAAGAAAGTCTAGACAGACTTATTGCCCCCTTGACAAAGCCAGAGACCGGCTCTTTGAGAATCTTACTTGAGGATGTAAAGAAACCTCTAACCATTCAGACTTCCAGAAGGTGGGGGTGAAAATTGTCACAAATGATCAATGAATGCCTACTCTCAGAGGTCTGACCCCGTGAGAGTGAGCTGGCTGAAGTTAGTGAAAGAGCCAGTTCTCATTGTGATAAAGCACATCCTGGCAAAGCCACAAAAAAGAAAATTATAGCAATCAATACAGATTAAAATGAAAACCGGATGAAGTTTTCAGCCAAATTCGTCTCCACTTCTGCTGTAATGGATTAACTTTTGAGTGCTGATATCAGCACAATTTGCAGATCCAGGACATTGGATATGGGAGTCAAAATTGGGTAGAAATTTAATTGAAACTATAGCGGGCCCTTGACATTTACAAGGGTAGTGCTGCCTCTTGCACTTGCCAACTTCTCCCATAATTGAGCTGCATTTGAAAAGTCGGCTTTATCCCTTCAAAAGACTTGTGCCTACCTTGACCTCTGCGTAGCCTCTCTTGATATATTTGATATATTTAACTGATAATCTCTAGATGTACTGTCTAGGCTTTGACAGAATCACAGTGGAGCTTCCTGTAAGGGAATCTGGCTGTCCAAGTGCAAGCTTAGTGGGATGAATCCTGTGGAATTTACCAGAGAACAGATAGAATCCAGGAAATAAAGGCTACCCACAGGATTCGCAGCCAAACAGCAGAGTCCGTGTGGCAGGAAGAAAAATACCCTCCTCTCCCAAAATGTCCATATATGACCCCTGGGAACTGGGGATATGGTGCCTCACATGAAAGGAGGGGATTTACAGGTGTGATTGAATGAAGGCTCTTGAGATAAAGATAGTGTCCTGAATTATTCCAGGTGGACCCAATATAATCAAAGGGTCCTTATAAGGGGGAAGTAAGAGAGGGTCAGAGGAGGCGATGTGGCAATGGAAACCAAGATTATAATGATACAATTACTGAAGGGGGGGGAGTGTCACAAGAAAGGGATGAGGCATCTTCTAAAAGCTGGGAAAGGCAAGGAATGAATTCTACCCTGGAGTTTCCAGAAGGAATACAGTCCTGCCTACACTTTGATATTAGTCCAGTGAAACCTATTTTCTATTTCTGACCTTCATAACGAAAAGAGGATAAATTTGTGTTGTTCTAAGTCACTCAGTTTATGGTCATTTGTTACAGCCACGATGGCAAACTAATACAGCCAACAACATTCATTTTAACAGTCTTTGTTTCTTCTCATTTTCTCTTTCCAACTTCAAATGAAGCATTCAATTCAATCAAGGTTTCTGGAATGATCTTTTTTCTCTCTTTGAGGACAACTCCCTAACCTCATTCACTCTTACCTGCCATGGTGTGATAGATAACTCCTGGTAGGAGAATTTTCATTTCCAAACAGCACCAGGGAGAAGCTACTTTCTATACAAAGAGGACTGATGCTGAGTAACTGCTCAGAGCTGGGCACCATCATGGGTATTTTGCACCGACCTTAGTTCATCTTTCCAACTGCTTTCCAAAGTATCACTCCCGCAATCGTTTTGTGGCTGAGGGTACCAAGGGTCCAGGATAGCGAGTAACTTATTCTGTCAATGAGTCGTCAGAGGTGGGACTAGAGCCCAGGTCTCTATGACTCCAAAATTAAAAAGTTCTTTCCATAAGAACATGCTGCTTCTAATTGACTTATACAAAGCATACAGCGCTAACAGCACAATGTCTGCATCAATTTGGATGAAGGAGTCATTTGAGAAGCAGGCGCCACTCCCAGGAAAGATGACGGTGAAGGGACAATCTAATTCGGGGGAGGACCTTTTCGATAGGTTGTCCTGGATTCGACTGCTGTTTCCTCTCAGGGACAAAAACGATGAGCGGTGGGTGTTGCCACTTCTAATAATTTTAAATCTCCTTCTAGGAGTATTTGCGTTTGGGCTTTTTGCTACTGACATTTTTGTAAATGCCGGACAAGTAGTCACGGGGCACCTAACGCCATACTTCTTGACGGTGTGCAAGCCAAACTACACTAGTACAGACTGCCGAGCCCACCACCAGTTCATCAACAACGGGAACATTTGTACCGGGGACGTGGAAGTGATCGAAAAGGCTCGGAGATCCTTTCCCTCCAAACACGCTGCTCTGAGCGTTTACTCCGCCTTATATGCCACGGTGAGTATGTGAGAGTCTTGCCATCTTTCCCAAGTTGAGCTCTAGCTGGGATGTGTGTCTTTCTGCCCTCTTCATCCCCATTCTTTCATCACTGTCACTTGTGATTTTTCAAGCCTTGTTGCAACATGGTTCTCCTATGAAATATCATGCTGTTGCCCCCACCCCCAACATCTCCATATAACACCTTGACCTGCTGGAGGATATTAGTTCTGGAAAGAATGTTGATAATCACTTAGTCAAATTTTCCCGTTTTACCGATGCAGAAACTGAGGCTCCAAGAATAGCTAAGAACCCATAGTTAGAAGTGGTAGCCAGGCTTCTGGCTGCATGTCTGGGATTTTCTCTTTGTCTAAGTGTTGATTGGTTCCAGAACAGTACATATTGGTCACACCTGCCCACAGGTTTGCAGGTGCGGGCCTTAGATGAGTGGCTCTTCTGCCGCGCACATGCCCGGGGTAAAGACACAGCTTTCCTGGGCTCCTCCTGACACTTCTCCGTCACTTTGCCAGCACGAATGGGTTACCTACAAGACCCCCAATACCCAAAACTTCACTTCTTACCACTCCCCAGATCACACAGGCTTTGACTGTCTCCATGGAAGTATAATGTTCTCTAAATGTTTGACTCTTGTCACAGAGAAAACCTAAAGTGCATCCCACATCTTAAAATACAAGAAGAATAATGATATTCCCTTAATTTTTCTACTCCTTAATTGCTTCATTTGGGAAATGATCTCATTGCACCTTTTCTGACCTGTGCTTCTGTGGGGGCTAAAAGGAATATTAAATACTTTTCCTCCCACCTTCTAAGTTCTTCTGGATGGGCTAATTATCAGATTAGCAGAGACAGATGAACAAGAGAAAAATCAAAGTTTAGTATATGCATACTGGGAATTCACATAGGCATGATAATTCCATGAAAATTCCTAAAACAATGAAGCAGCATAGGATATATAAGATGTTTTTGGGACAAGGTGAAAGGTAGGGAACAGGGTGTCAGATTTCAGAAGTGAGAATGGGCGAGGCCCTGGCCAGGTAGCTCAGTTGGTTGGAGCATTGTCCAGATGCGCCAAGGTTGTGGGTTTGATCCTGGTCAGGGCACAGGCAGGAATCAACCAATGAATGCATAGAAGGATGGAGCAAAAGGATGACCTCTCTCTCTCTCTCTCTCTCTCTCTCTCTCTCTCTCTCTCTCTCTGTCTCTAAAATTAATTCTCAATAAGAGAGAGAATGGGTGATTTATAGGCAGTTGAGGGAAGGTGGAACACATGTGGCAGGAAAATCCTTGCTAGCCAACTCAGAAACAAGGAGACCCAGCGGGTATCTAGCTAACAGGCTTCTGCCTGAAGCCCTCTGTCTACCATAGTTAATTCAAGTTAGGCTAAGGGAGCATCCGAAATTCTCCTTCCTGAAGCACCTTTCTCTGTCCCAATCTCTTAGGCAGGAAAGCAGGGAGGTTCAAAAATTCTTTCTGAGTTCTGTTTCTTAATAAACAGCTTAAAATCGATATCCCAAAAAAGCAGCTGCAGGATGGAAAAATGTCAGTCCCTTCACTTGCGTAGACCTGAGAGTTAAGGATCAGCTCAGAGACTGAGTATCGTATGCAGCTACCGTGGAAGCACGACTGTTGGTAGGAAACATCACTTTTCCTTACTGCAACTTATTTTATATTCAGGAAATGACTGGTATAGTGATTCTCAATGAAAGGCACCGGAAGGAGAAGGCAGAGGAAAGACCCCTGTCAAAACGTCCATTCTTCCCAGAGATTCTGAGCACGCCCTCCACCCCCAGGGGAGCATGTTCCCATCCCCTCTCCTGAGAGCCTGCCTCTGACGGAAGACTGTCCCTGCAATTACTCTGAATTACTTATATTCAGGGTAGAGAAGAGGTGGCTGACTACCAGTCGGGTCTCTTTAGTAGACTTTAAAATAAATTGTTAAATAGTCTCCTTAAAACAAAAGTTCCTCTGTGTCCCATTTACAGGATCACATCCATAGGACCAATTTGTCAACCAACAATTATCCAAAATGAGTCTTCCTAGTTACTCCATTTAGATCTTCTCTTTAATGAATACATGACAAAAGCTTATTTCAGCTGCCCCCTCGTTAAGGCCACATGAACATAAATAATACAGAAGCCTCAATATACAAATAGCTCAGTGAGCCTTCTTCACTTCACTAAAATAAAATAGTATGTGCCAGGTATTTTTTTTTTTTAAGCAAAGAAAATCCTGTCAGGCATTCAGCATATTTTTTTAAATTTTCTAAATACTTACTTGCTTTAAATTATCTAGTACATAAGTTATATGAAGCATCTAGGACATAAATTGTATGAAGCTATGTACTTTTGCACCTTTTTCTATATTTTTTTAGACTCAAGTCATTGCTCTGTGAAATTAATTTTACAACACCAGTATAAAATCAAATCTGTCATAATAAACTATTCTTATCAAGTAAGATATAAATTTATTTTGGAGAGAAAGAAGTAAGTAGAGTCAGCTCACTCAGAAGAGATGCGGCTATAGCACATTTTTCAAGGATTCAGATATAATCCAATTCAGACTGTGCCTCACAGTCATCAGATAAACCCTGGTACAAGATTCCAATTCTGCAAACGTTCCTGAGCCTCTATTATATGTGAAGTGCTTTCAGAAATTCCTCAACAAATATTTCCTTAGTGCTAGTTAATACTGTGAAGAATACTAATTATCACTTGTGATTTAATTGGAAAGATTTATCAAGGTTATATTTAAAAAACAATATAGAAGAATAAAAAACTTAAATATATCTAGTCTAAATGTTACACAACAGCTTTCACACAGCTGTAATGATATGCTCTAATTTATATAACGCTGATCTAACCACAGTTTTCCAGGGTATCAGCTACGTATAAAAATAAATAGAATCCCATCATCCTGTATTCACACCAGTGTTGAAGCATCATTTGAGGAAATTAGCAATTCCCACTATAATATTGTAAAATTCATCTATTTGAACTTGTATGTGCTCAGGCCACACATAACACACTACAGACTATAATTTAAGCATCAGCATACTTTTTTTCAGGGTTGCAAACTCATTTATCACTTTTGTTAAAGACGTGATGGGTCAATAATGCCCTCTACTGGTTTCTCGTGACCATTACTAAAGGTGATTAAGTGTCTACGTGAAACAGGCACGTCTTCCTAACTAAGCCACTAAGCACACGTCTGATAACTGAGTCTATGAAACGTTACCCAGCTTCTCACAATGAAGTAAGAACAGCCTACATATTACACTTGAAACTAACATAAAATAATATTTAATGCAACTGTAATTGAAAAATAAAATTTTTAAGAAAGAACAGCCTACATAAATCTGGGCTTCCTAAATTTCAGTTGCCATAACTTTAACCTTCTTTACTCGGTTCAGGTCTTCCCAGCCTGTCATGTCATGACACAAGTTTAAAAAAAACTAATATTTTAAAATACACTGGAGTAAATGAATAGATAGAACTGATGGAGTAAATAAATAGAATTGTCTCGAGGAATGTGGAAATCAGTCTCCTCGCACAACTGGAATCTACATGACACACTGATTGAAAAGTTCTAATTCAGTCAATCAACTAATCAGTAAATGCTCTTGTTTTCATTGCTTAGAAGCGTGAAGCAGCAGCTAGAAATATGGGGGACCCAAAAAGTAAAGTGTACAACCACTCACCTACCTGGTCTTCTCCATAAACTTCATTCTCGTAGGTTTATTTAGTATCTGAGCATTGTATTACATGGGCTCTTTAATACCCAAAATGGTGCTTTAATTTGTTGCGTGAAAACTGCACCTTCTGAATCTGATCATTATTATGCAGACATTCTGCATGTCACCATAATTTCTGTTCACATGTCTCCTAAAATTCAAAACACCATGATTAACGGAGATTTACCCATTCTTTTTGCTGCATTGGTTTTCTACCCAAATTCTTTACTGAGCAGCTTAGGGGAGTGGTTCATCTGGCTGATGCGGCTGCTTGGCACAGCCCGTTTGCGTGTGCTGGCTGTGCGCGCATGCGCGGATATGCACTGTGTGAGGAGGTCACTCCCCAGTCTCTGTCCTCCCCTTCCAGATGTACATCACAAGCACAATCAAGACGAAGAGCAGTCGACTGGCCAAGCCAGTGCTGTGCCTCGGGACCCTCTGCATGGCCTTCCTGACGGGCCTCAACCGGGTCTCCGAGTATAGGAACCACTGCTCCGATGTGATCGCAGGCTTCATCCTGGGCACTGCTGTAGCCCTGTTTCTGGTAGGTCAGCTTCCCTCTTTCCACCTTTTCCCCTCTCCTGCCCTCTGACAGGCCGCCCAAGACCATGGTGAGTCAGGTCCCCAGACGCCACAGTCTAAGCCCAGGCTCGTCTGGCCCTAACCTTTGTGAGCTGTAATTGTTCCCCAAGTATTATGCATGCTTTTGCTGCAGGAATGATTTCTAAAGCACCCTTTCTTTCAGAAATATGATTGCATATTCCCTTTGGGGATCAGGGAGGGGAATGCCCAGGGAGGAGGGCTTACTCCACTTTCTTCAGCACTGTGCTTGGGACAGGCTGGGTAGAGCAGTAATTTGGCATACCTTCAAATACTGTTGGAAAACATTTGTTCCTGCTGCATTGAGAGCAGCACTCAGTTTGCTTGGGGGAAGAACAGACACCAGAAACCACTGGTGGAAGCAGGCAGCCCCTTCTCCAGGATCCCGTGAACTTGAGCCTGGGCCCTGGCTTGCCTATGCCATTGGGAAATGTGAAAACTCTCAGCGAACTGCACCCAGGCTTTTTTAGAAGGCCTCTGTCATTATCTGAATGTGCCTCTCGGGAATTTTATTTCTGCTACAAGTGTCTTCTCAACCACATAAAATAATATTCCTGGACCTGCCATTAATACAGTTTTCTCCATATCTTTACATTCCTGACGATATCTTAGTTTCTCAGATACATGGGGGCCTGTCTACTGGCTCGACTAGGAAATCTTGGATTGGAAAAGAAGAGGTTCATTTTCATTGTTTTTGTCTTTTTTTTTTTTTTACAGTTTTGTTGAGATATGAAAGGCATATAACAAATGGCACATAAAGCACAATTTGATCCATTTTGACATAGAGATACATCCTTATCTCCCATCCTCCCAGTCCCTCATTCCCAAGCCACTGCTGCTCTTCTTTTCAATACACTATATTAGTTCGTCTTTTCTAGGATTTCATATAAATGAAATCATAAAGCATGTATTCTTTTTTTCTGGTAGCTTTCACCCAGCATAATTATTTTGAGATTCATTCACATTGTAGCATGTAGCAATAATCTATTCCTTTTTCTTGCTGTATAGTATTCCATTGTAGGGACGTACCATAGAGGTGCAGGTTTTTTAATAATCTTCAAGGATTTAAAATCAGCCCAAAATGATTTACAGTAAATCACCAGGGATGGAGAGTCACATGTTGCACATGAAATGAATTTCTTAGACTGAAGCTATCAGTCAGTATGTCCCTCCTCTCATTTTGCCCTTTCTGGTCTGAAGCACTCACTAAGACTGGCATCTCATATAGGAGGATTCCACAGTCCTATGAGCTAGCTCCCCCTTGTCCTCCCCAACATACAAAATACACCCATACCTCTCCCAAACACTAATGCAGTTTCCCAGTATTTTATACCTGCTGAGATACACAGAGAAAATGCTCATGTTCATTCAGAACACTGATTGGGAAACTCCATTCTAATTCAAAATTATTTTTAAAGGACCTAGGCTTTTCTTCTGTAGTGAGAGATGGGCTTAAATGCAAATTTTCTGAGTGAAGCTACAGGGAAAGTGGTATGGAGGATGATCCTGATGATTATAAGGATATTTTCCTAAGATTGCTTTTTTAAAGAGGGAAAGACTAAAAGTGACATCAGAGAAGAGAGGGTTTTCAAAGAGACATCAAAGGTACATCAATGAGAGGGCCCAAAAGGAAAGCCAGACAATTTTGCTGTCCATGAGTCCTAGAGCCAGCCCTCCCCAGCTAGAGAGAAAGAGCAGTGTTGACTCTCCCAAAAGATTTCATGGGGCCTTTGCAGGATGAAATCTATAGAATCTCTTGTGTTTCCTAAGGCCCCATATACAAATTCTGCTTTACTATTAAACTTGTTTTCTCTTAGTGACTCACAGCCCTGTTGCCTACCACTCAGTTACTATTTGGACTGTTACTGACTTCCCAACTGATGGCAAATGTCAAAAATTGTTTTCCACAAATGATCTTTATATAGGGCCCAGGCCTGCTGTTGATTGCTCTGCCAGGAGACAGACCACCCTGTGCCTCCATGTGCACAGGAACACACCTCACATGCACACACAGTAAGCTGAGAAGGGGGAAGGGGAGGATGTCATAGCAGAGCCTGGAAACATTTCAGAGCAGGGACTTGAAGAGGAGACGGGGGCGGGGGGCGGGGGGGAGCGGGCGGCGGGGGGGGGGGCGGGCGGGGCGGGGGAGAGGAAAGTCAGAGAATAGGAGCATACTTGCAGTGTATGTTCACTATTGTTTCTGTGTTTCCTATGAAGACGGAAGTGTGGGGAAGGGGGGAGATTATTAGTTAAGCAATTACTACATACCCCACTCTTTATGTACACCAAATCAGAGAGTGCTCCTAGGACAACCCTAACAACATTCTTATCCTCAGTTTATAGCTGAGGAAAGGGAGGCCTCAAGATAAGTAACTTGCCCAATGGCCACACAACCAACAAGTCATGAACCTAACCTACCTCTTTTCAACTCCAGAGTCTCTTCAACCTCAACACATTCCGCTTCTCCCGTTTTCTGAGAGGAGGAAGTTTAAGCAGAGATAGAGGAAAGTAGAGAACATTCATGTAAACGCCCTGCAGGGTTTGAAGAATGACAGGAAAGATTCAAAGGCCCTGATATAGAAACAAAGATTCAGAACAATGGAGGAGGGAGTGTGCAAAGAACCAGATGAACTCTCCATGGGCAAAAGAAACAGAGCAGATTGGGGGGGGGGGGGTCGGGTGGAATGGGGGCGGGGGGGAGACTGAGGTATGAATGGACCTCAGGAGGAAATAAAGAAAAGTGAGTAGTAATTTAGAAGGAAAATTTTTTAGCAGAAGCAATAAAAGAAAAGGGCCACTCATGAGTTATGTACTCTCAAGCAAGTAGTGGTAGAAGTTAAATAAAGACTTGAATATTTGCTGTATGTTTGACACTTGTTAAGAGGCAAAATATCACAGTAGTATGAGCTACGGAGTTTAAATCTCTTTATGATGTTGGGCAGGTTATCTAGCTTCACTGTGCCTCCTCACATAAGTTGGAGATAATAGTACCACCTTTCTTGTAAGACTGTTGAGAAGGTTAAATGAAATCAGGTAAGACTCTTGAGGACAATGCCAGACACACAGTGGCCCTCAATAAATGTTTGATGCTATTATCAGGTGGTTTGCAATCCTCATGCCTTTTAATCACTACAGATTTATGAGGTAGGTATTATATTCTTATTTTTACAGGTTAGGAAACAGGCTTAATGGGTGGGTTGATTATCACTGGCCATCTGGTAATTAAACGGATGTCTCCTCAGCCCTTAGAATGTCGTCAGCAGACACCCCAGACCCTGCCCCAGGCTTTTCCAGTGTCTCTACCCACTGCCTCAAAGGAAAAGAGTCACTATGACAATGACATTCTAGGGGGAAGGCCTGCCACCCTCACAGATGGCCAGGCATTGATGGCTGTAGTCTGACCCAATCTTTTTACCCCTCATCCTGCAGGGAATGTGTGTGGTCCATAACTTTAAAGGAACACAAGAATCTACTTCCAAACCCAAACCCGAGGATCCCCGTGGAGTACCCCTAATGGCTTTCCCAAGGATAGAAAGCCCTCTGGAAACCTTAAGTGCACAGGTATAGTAAAGTGGTTTCAGCAAACCAAACCCCTAGGCTCAGACCTGTTATCTTGGGAGGTCCGCGGATCCATTCCTCTTCTTGAAAGCAGGACACCACTGCATCTACCCAGCATCAGTGAACACCTGATATGAAGGCCCTCAAGAACGTCACAGCTCCCCTCAATTAGTCCTGCACTTATCCTGGTGCTTGGCCATCATGAATCCTCTGGAAGTTTTTAGTAATGTCTAACTTAAACCTCAGCTGCTTCAGGATACCTTGGCCTCCAGTCTAATTCCTCAGTTAGGAAATTTGGACCAATTATGTGAGAGGCCAATTTGATTTACTAATTAAGACAATATTTGGGGAAAGAAGATTTTATTACATCTAGTGACCGATGTAAACTAGAAGCACATTTAAAAGTTTATTAACAAAAATAGATGTAAGTGTCCTTTTGGATCTGTTTTGATGACAACTATTAAAAATTCAGTACAACAGTACTTACCGATCACTTACTTATACCAGGACCTTGCTTCATGCCAGGGATACAGAAAATAATCAACCACACGGTCCTTGACCTCAAAGAACTCATAGATGATTAGGAAGGGTGGACGTAAATGAGTAATCATGATCTGGCATGCTGAATCAGAGGTCCAAAATTTGCTGTGTGAATATAAATGAAGAAAAAAATCTATTCTACCCGAGAAGACAGGGAAAGCCCTGGAGAAGGCCTGCTAGCTGAAAGGGACCTTGACAGATGGCATTACTCACGCACTTTTGCCTTGAACAGTTGCTAGGTGCTTTACAGCTACATTCTTATTTGAACAAAACCCTGTTGAACTGATAGTATAACTTCCATTTCCAGATTAAAGATAGGAATACTGAAGATCAAGAAGTTAAATTACTCGTCCAAGGCCACAGAGCTAGCATGTCAGAGAGCTGGATGGGCAGTCCTTTAAGCAGAAAGAGAAGGGAATGGCTAATAACAAAACAGGGTTTTTGTCATTTGTTTAACTTGAAATCTTGTTGGCATTTGGCATTTTCTTACTAAGCCATTTGTACAGCTCCCGCAAGGGAAAAAGCAGATCACCTCCCCCCTGGGAGGAGCATGTGCTTCGCATCAGTACAGCATAAAAATATTTTTCACTATTTAACTTAAAAGTTATAAATATCAGATGTCTCTCTAAGACAACTATCCTATCTAATTGTATCAATAAACCAGAAGAAAAACCCAATAAAGCTATTTCCATCTTGGGAAAAATATTTAGTCCATTAAGTCCAGCTCCAGGTCTTTTATTTGTTTGCTTATTTTCCTTTAACCTGTATTAAGATGAAATACAGTATTTGACTTGTTCTAATTAGAAATAAAGTACTGAAAAATCTATTGCCAGCTTATTTCTACTTAGCCTGTTGATGCAGGTGGAATGGCAAATTAGCTTAAGTAATGATACCTTGTAATGAAATGGTGAGATAGACTCTCCCTAGTTTGTCTTCCCTATCTACTAATGTTTCTGAAACTGGTGAGAACAGAGTTGTTCCCTCTGTTTTTGAAGTGAAGCAACTAAAGACAAAGATCAGTTTAAAAAGTAAACTGAAGTATTTGCCTAGTTCCACAAACATGTCCATTTCTGTGTCCTTGTAAATGCTGTTTACTTTGCCCTGACAATCCTGGTCTAAGGACACCTCATTTCTACCCATCCTTCCTCCCAACGTTGCTCAGCCATTACCCTCTGTCTGAAGCCTTCTCCAGATTTCCCTCTCTGTCCTCCCTTGGGACCATGAATAGTTGACCAGGACATATTTGGGGGGATTCCACTTACATTGAAAAACAAAATGCCAAACAGGGTTTCAAAAACTGCAATTCACAAGATAGATAAAAAATTCTTTTAAATAATATATTGATTTATTTTTCACAACAGGCAGCAGTGGAACTTCTTTCAAATCTGTTCACGTGTCTTTGTATCCATGTAGACCACCTCATGTGGGTACAAGTTGGGGCCTTTCCTGAATACCAGGCTTGGGCTAGAGGGCCCTCAGGGTCCCTCTGTGATTGCCCCTCACAATCAAAGCCAATAGTGTCCCCTTCTGCCTGCCTCCCCCAAAAACTTAGAGATCTTTGAGGATCTGAACTATATCTTACTTATTCTCCATATTTCCTAGCATTCAGCAGGTGAGAAATAATGTCTGATGGGTAGACAGATGCAAGCCAGAACCAAAACCTAAACTAGACACTAGACTCAAAACCAAGAACCTAAATTTGGACCATAGTCACTATCTGAACTTCCTGGAAATTAGAAATGTATGAGAAACTATGAACAGGACTTCTGCAGGCTAGTCAAAATGAAGCTGTGGGAAGCTGGGTGAAAGTCGTTACCTCTCATGTGATGCCTTCCATACCAATTGTGGAAGATTCATGTAACCACCCACCTGCTTTCGGTGTCAAATGTTTCTACATGGTCAGTTGGGAGAATATACCCTTTATTTGTTGGTCAAGAAAGAAAATTGGCATTTCTTGCAAACCAGTATATTCAGTCTCACAATAGTCCTGCAATTGACATTATTATTCTGTTTTATAGATGAAGTAAGTAAAGCACAAAGACTTGAAGTAATATGCCCAAGGTCACCCATTCAAAATTAAAACCACAGATCCATCTATTTCTTAAAGGCCCTGCTAGCTACACAACAGGGTCTGGCATTTCATTCAAGGGAAATTTCATTTAGAAATCTGCTACTCTCAGCATTGAAAATGGAAACATGCTGTAGGGCATAGTGTGTTTGAACTCAGCTGCACAGGCTTTCTTTCCCCTTTGCCACATGGAGCCCCAAGAGCTAACGTGTTCTTTTTCCTCTCTAAAACATCAACTCAAATTTGAATATTTACCTTCTGTGATTCCTTTTAGTCGGGTTGATGGAAAGAGGGTGCATTTTTCTAAAATCTTTCCCAAGTACTCAAGAGAAACCAAAAAGTAAATAATCACAGAATGCAAACAAAACAAAAATGATCAAGTTTCCAAAGCATTGTTTTGTGGGCCTATAGAGTTACTGAGATCCTAAAGGCATGGGCTTCAAATCATGTTCTGAGCCTCCACACCCACATTCACCTGAGCAGTTAAGTTCAGTGTTGAACAATCTGTTTCCTTGTCAAACACAGTTTACATTAACAAAGAAACTAGAGAAGAAACAATTGTGTTAACTCACCCTGGGTGTGGTATAAAGTGTCCTCCTATCTCCAGATAGGATAAAGAAGACATTTTTTTCTTTAACATACACACAAAAGAATTTGATCTATGCTGAGACCCAGATACTCCAGGGATTCTAATTCAGCAATTCTGGGATGAAAAAAATTATATTTAAGAAAATATTCCCAGAGGAATTCTAATAGCCCTCTTCATGAAAAACCAGTGATATCGTAGACTTCATATTATAAATAGAAAAAAAAAAAAGACTTGGAGAGTTCAAGAAACCTAATCAAAGTCACCCATTTAGTTATCTTAAAGTGTTGAATTATTTTATATTTTCCTCTTACTCTTAAATAGAATCTTACAAACATGTACATGACTGAAATATTAACCAAAAAACAATTTTAAAAAACAAAGCATACTATAAAACTAAAAACATAAAAGAGGAAGTTATTTTTCATATTATGGCAAAAATGCATCAAACCTTAGTTTTTATAGCTATGGCGCATAAAAGTACCTTGAAAAATACAAAATAGTCAGTTTCTAAAATGTATAGTTGAGCTCTCAAACAAGAATCAGGAAACTGTAATAATCAATTAGAATGATACCTACAGTTTCTTAACGTATTTGCCAGTTCTGTGGACCAGGGGATTTAAGTTCAAACAAAAGAGAAAACTTTGGGAAGGATTGAGGGAGGGATGTGGGGAAGGGGGGCAGGGGGAAGTGGTGGCGGGAAGGTGGAAACAAATGTATTTGAACAAAACATAAAAATTAAAAGGAAAAAAAAAAGTAGGGAAAACTTTGGGCCTGCCAAAGCTGGAGGCAGTGCAGTTAAGCCTTGAACAGCAGGGGGACTGGCGAGCTGATCCCCCGCACACAGAGTTGAAAATCTACAGATAACTTTTGACTCCCCCAAAACTTAACTACCAATAACCTACTGTAGACCACAAACCTTACCAATAACATAAAAGTCAGTTAACACATATTTTGTATGTTGTATGTATTATTCTATGTTCTTACAATAAAGTAAGCTAAAGAAAAGAAAATGTTATACAGAAAATCACAGGAAAAAGAAAAGACATTTATAGTATTCATTAGGAAAAAAATCTGCTTATAAGTGGACCCACACAGTTCAAACCCATGTTGTTCAATTGTCAACTGCATATATAAATTATATAAATAAGAGATGGGATTATATAACAAGCCATATAAACAAAAATTGATAGTATTACAAGGGAAGTGGAAAAAGCTGCAATTACAGTAGGATTTTTAACACATCTGTAAATAATAAGCAAACAAAATATAGTAAACACATTGATGATTAATAAGATTGATCTAATGTGCATTATATATAAGCCTCCTAAAAACACATGAAATTATAAGAACAGACCACATAAAAGACTGCAAAGCAAGTCTCAAGAAACTTTAAAGAATCTATATCACACAGACCACATTCTCTACAAAAAAATTTCAAAGATACCTAAAAACAACAACAAAAAACCCTATACATTTGAAAATATTAAACTCACTTCTATACAACTCATGATTCAAAGAATAAATAACATGGAAGTTTTTCAAAAATTAGAACTGTTCCCTATTAAAAAACATTACCTTATAAAAGATATGAGATACAGGTAAATTTACTTTGAGATCCTAAATGTTCATACTGAAATATAGTTGAGGAAGTATAATATAGAGCAGAATTATATAGGGAACAAATTTAGATGAAAAAAAAATCTGATGTGGGTTGAAAAATCAGGAAAGATTTACCAGGAAAGGTAATAGCAATTTGAAAGGCCACGGAAGAGCATATCAAAGACAGGGAACAGCTTGTGCAAACTCAAGGAGACAAGAAAACAAGGGATATTCAGGGCAAAAGTGTGTACATGTGTCAATCAACTCAACTCTAAGATTGTATCTGCTTCTGTTTGCAGAATCACTCTGCTTCCATGACTGAAGTTACCTGAGACGGCTGACGTATCACAAGCTGTTTTTTTTTAATCACCCTCCAATTCGATACTTCAAGACACACAGTTACTTGATGTCAAACTGTGAAGACAAGTATTATGTTTATCTAGTTAGAGGCTAATGTTTTGTACATTTTTGTATGAGGAAGTGATGTAGCTTGCCCTGATATTTTTTTTTTTGATCAGCTTTAATATATTCATGCCAGAATTTCAAACCAACAAAATTTTCTTCTTGTTCAAGCGTGCATTGAAGAACCACATTTATTCAACAATTGATGTTGTTTTGTGATATTTGTACACAAACCTTCTTTTCTCAGTTTTATAGACACAGAAATAAAATTAATATAACAATTCACTTTAACCTTTTATTACCACAGTTGCTGCCTCCTTCAGAATTTTTGAATATTTCTGAAAGTTAACTTCTGAGTTGCAGGGAGGACAATGTTGGTTAATGGAAAATCTCAAAATCAATTGTGCAGAAAGAAATACTGCTTTCAAAAAGAACTTTGTGCTCTGTTCTCTTAATGTGTTACTGCTTTCTAAGTTAAAGTGAAATGTTAATGAAGTCTCCTAGCTACACAATTGGCAGAAAATCCTGAATATGAGCGGTGTTGGGATTATCTGATCATTTCTTAGACAACAGTCTTTCCCATCTAAAAAACTTAAGATCTTCCTGGAATCACATCCTTGGGCAGGCAGGTGACTTTGCAGCCCGCTTTCCCAAATGCAGCCAGCACCAGCCTCCCCTGTCAACTCAACAGTTTTGTATATCATATTATATGGACTTTATACGAAAATGAATATTTTACAGTTTGCACAGTATTATTTTACAGAAAGGGTTTCAGAGCTTCTAGAGCCCAGAGCAACAGCTTTACTTTGTGGCTTTTAATTGTTCTAGAATTTTAACTGCATCTCATTTTTCTAGCATGGTAATAACTGATATGTAACTCCTTCAAGAGAGGAGCGCCCTTGTCTCTACCTATCCGACTGTTTTCTTGACACTTCCACGTTGGCTCTTCTTACCTTTTTTTGTACATATTTTTTTTTTTCTAAAGAGAAGAAAAAAAGTTATCACAAAATGTATTCTGGCTCATGTCCTTTGTTTTAGTCTTCATCCGCTGGGCAAAGGTATTTGGATTGTCTCAATGACGGGACCCCAGTACACATTCATACTTCTCAGTTCCGTGCCTGCTGGGTTAGGCCCTCACAGCGGCTGTACGTGTCAGCACCGTTATCAGAATACAAGGCTGCCCAGCTGCCAAGTCCATTCTTTGCACTACATCAAGATGCCATCAATGCCTTCAGTGGCTTTTCAATGTAATATACCTGTTTAGATGGTTCAGGGGATGGTGCAGGTGAAAACAAAGCACATCATGAGAAGGATGCACTCCGCTTATGAGAAGGAATTATTTGCAAGCTCTGTGCTCTCCAATCTTGCGTAAGCTACCTAAGTGTAATGTCCAGTTTCAGACTGAGTCATTCTCTAAGCATATTTTAGGTTGGTTTTTTTTTTTTTTTTAAATAACAGCAATGAGAGTTCAATTCTATTTCATGTTCATAAGACATTCTGGAAAATGCTGTCAAGCTATATTGATTTTATATGACCCATTTCTTGTCTCAATAAGAAGCCATTTAAATGTCTGACTACCAGATGGTATTTCTAAGAACTTCAGTCAAGTCAACAATGTGAGTGTTATCCTTGTATTCTTCTCTCCAGTTTCAATCTGGAATATTAGAAATATCCCAAGATCTCTAGACACAGACCCCCACTTCCTGGCCTTTGGCTTGGGGTGTATTGGTGGGGAGTCATGCTCCACAGACCACCACACTGCCGCACATGGAACTAAGGGGCATCTCCGGGCTCACAACCTGGATCCCTTCCTTCCATTATGCCATGGCAACCTTGGTGTTGCCCCTATTGAGCCCTAGGTTGCTTCACAAGCCTCGCATTGATCTTTCAAGACTGCCCATTGAGATTAATTTCTTAGGGCTAATGGACCCTTCCACATGGGCCTTCTACCAAGACGAAGCTCTCTGTCTACATAGGACAAGTGGTCACTTAGCCTCAGAAAGAATGAATTCTGCAATGACCTTTTCTACCTCTTTTTAAGGAAAGCCCAAAGGAGCCTGAGAAGTCTGGCTCACTGTGAGAGGAAAGTAGGAAGAAGCAAAAGAAAGGCTAATAAAGAGTGTTGACATAAGCAACCTCCTGGGACTATTAGCCCCTGAGGATATTCATGGCATATTTTACTTGTTTGATTCAGTGCCCAGAACAGGGCCGGACACAGAGTAAACAGTTAAAATGTGTCAAACATTTGGATTCCAGACTTGCTCCTAATTTGGCTGAAGGAGACTTGACTCATTTGAAAATAAAGAGAATTTGAATGATGCCTGAAGATACCTGAAAGATAAATATATTTAGATGTGGGAATAATAAGAGTGAAGAGACTGCACTCAGCAGTCAGGAACACGTGAGTGCCTCTTGCGGTAAGTCCTAAAGATCTCCCTGTCAGGCTGCGATAGTCCGAAGGGCTGTGTGTCACTGTACTGACTCAGAGACTGCAAACAGGCATAATCCCAAACTCAGAAAGAGAAGGCATCGGGATCCTTGGGATGATTTAAAGAGCAGAAGAGACAACAGTGGCATTTTTGTTTCAAAGAAAATTGACTTGATTCTCCTGTTTTTTATTGTATTTTTTTCCTTTACCATTTAATCTCCTTTTACTCCCTTCTATCTGCAACTACCAGAACCCTCAAGGGTGTTAAATATCTTGGAAGCAGACACATCAAATACTAGATTGCCCTAGTTTGTTTTAAGGAGTGGGTTACATTAAGGCTGTTATACTCAATGTAACCTACTCCTTACTCAATTTCTTCCCTGCTTAATTCAAGATGTGTACTAGTACTAGTCTGCCATTTACTATCATCCCTTGTACTACCATGGGAATTTTGTAATGAACGCCAAACCTCTTGCTTGCATCCTTGTTCTTGAGCCAGGTGTCCTAGGGTTGATTGATACATTTATGCATTTAATAAGTATTTAATGAGCATCTACTGTGTGTCAGGAATCATACTGAGGAACTGGGAATATGCAACAAAATAAATTGACCTACTTCTTGCCCTCATGGAACTTAGAGTCAAGTGAAAGAAAAGGAAAACAACCATAAACCAATTAATATATAATTAGTGCTTTCAAGGGAGACCTGCTTTAAATAAGGCAGAATAGTGTTATTAGGATAGTCTTCTTTAAAGAAGTGACATATATGTTAGAATGAGTAGGAGGTGACTGAACATCAGAGAAAAGCATATGAGGCCAAGGAAACAGCGTGTGCAAAGGCCCTGGGGCAGAAAAGAGCTTTACACATGTGAAGAAGGAAAACCAGAATGACTTGAGTATAGTGAGAGATATTTGATGATGCTGGGGAGTATGTTGGGGACTTTGGAGGACTTGTTATGGATTTTAGAATTTATCCTAAAGTTACAGGAAGCCCTTAGATGATGAAAAACCCTTAGTAAGCAAGAGAATGGCATAATCAGATTTGTAATTCTAATGAGTCCTTCTGGGCTGCTTCTGTGTGTAGAATGAGCTGAAAGGAATCAAGAATGGAAAGGAGGTGATCAATTAAGAGTTCACTGTATTGGGCAGAACACGATTATGACTTTAACTGGGATAGTGGTAGTAAAGACAGAGAGTGGACTGGAAGGAAATGCAAAACAGCTGGGAGGTAGACTCAACAGGATTTGAAGCTGCATTAGATGTGATAGAACAGCTTTCAGTAACACTCTCTTTCTGGAGAAACTTCTCTAAATTTAACTCCCCTTTTTGGTGACAGATGAAAAGCTGAAGAGAAAAAGAAATTGAGTTTGACCCTACTCTCCAGCCATTGACTCTTGCAGAGTCCAGGTCACTCCCCATGCACTTAACATTAGAAATGACCCTGCCAAGAAAAGCAACATTTACACCACTCAGGACTGGTGCCTCTGCCATCAGCGTGGCTTGTTCATTTTGGCCTCCTGTGTGTCACCATCTACAGAAGGTTACATTCTATGGCCCTCCCAGGAAACCAAGGAAGTTTGTGTGAAGAGTAGAGAATGAGGTAAACGTCACACACTTTTTAATTTGCCCTATCAACTTTAATGGAACTTCTGTCTAGCAATTAATCTCAAGTATTTTGGAACAGGGAATAGCTCTTCTTTTGGGACAATGATGTTTAATGTTGTTACGTAAAGTCACATCTCCATTGAGTCATTTTGTAAAGCAATTTTTTTTTTTTTTTTGCAATTTCAAGTGATGTTCTGCAGTATTTCAGAAATGAGTAAATTCAGGCTCAGAGAGACTCATCATACATCATTCTGTATCTAATATTAATATCACCTTCTCATGATCCCTCTTGGTAACCGACAATTTCTGCTTTTGGCAAGGACCGTGTAGTCAGGTATCTCCTCACTTGGGCATCTCTTCTGTCCTGTTCTTCAGCAGCCACAGGGGTGAGTGTGAAGACTGGCAGGTGCCCCTTCCCTCCAGCAGCCTGTTTTCTGGGGAGGCTCTCTCTGGTTCAGGATCTTGGGCCCAATGATGTCCACATCAAGGGCTAATTAGACATCAGTTGCAAATTAACTCTCCATTAGAGGGATTTTGAGTTGTTTGACCTCACTGAAAATAGATTTTCATGCATTTGGCAAAATCAGTCATACCAAGACTCACTAGATATGTATGAATTAATCTCCCACTGCTTGATGAAATCACTGAATTTGATGAACATGTACTGGCTCTACCACAATTACTTTTGCTTCATTGGCATAAAGTTGGAATTTAACTCTGTTCAAAAAACTCCCTTATTAAATGAAACCAAAGGGCTCTGATATGCAGCCTCATAGGATTGTCAGAGAAGTACCCCTTCGTCAGAATTATTCCTTCTCCTTCTCTTAGCATCTTTGTTCTAGAAACTTCAAAAAAATATTTTGAGATGTAGTTCAACTGCCATATTCTCTAAGATGCTCTTCCTCAGACAAAATTACCACCACCCACCCACCCGTACTTCCATAGCTTTCCATAGTAACTATACCACAACAGTGGCAGGGAGTTGGGGGGCGGGGCAGTGGGTACAGGTGTCAAGGCAAGGAAGAGAGGCCTCTGATTCTACCCAATCCCTCAGGCAGGATTCTCAGGATGAAGTCACCACAGGCCAGGTCTGAACCTCTCCCTTGCAGGGCTGAAACCAGGCTCCAAGCTCCTCAAAGGTGACCTGTTACTTTGTGACAGAGTCTTACTTATTGAATGTAGCAGGATAAAATATTTAACCCATTTCTCTGTATAAATATTTTCTAAAACCCACCTAAACTTCCTATGGAGCCTCCTT